TGCATTAAAATGGTCCATCTGCTCTTGGTTTAAGTTCTTGGAGCTAGCTTTTTCATCTCTGTAGGGTTTTTTCACTTCCTATTACAGAGGCCTTTAAAGATAGACATTGAGTTGGTATAAAATCTACAACTCTGGAGCATAAATGCCTATTTAAAGTAAAGCTGTCTGGAATTCCCACTCCCTCTTCTCTCCCAAAAGACCCTATTTATTTGGCTAGGAGAGACAATTGTGAAACCTGACACTTTGGGTCATATCATAGGGTCTAGAGCTAGAAAGGCCTTCTGAGACCATCTAGTCCTATCCCCTCATTTTACAGATGAGGAAACTGAGGCTCAGAGAGGTTAAATGACTTACCTAAAATCATACAGGTAATAAGCAGGAGAAGTGGAGTTTAGACCCAGGTGCTTTACTCCAGACCCAGTGCTCTTTTCACTGTTACAAGGCATCTCTTTATTTCACATTCAAATAAAAATTTCATCAAACTTTCTGAATCTCAACATCAGCTATGGAAAATAACCCAGAAAATTGAATAATATTGGTATTTATTGATTATTTGAAAATAGTAAATAGCCAAATACTAGCTGGGGTTATTGCCATTTCCCCATTCTTTAACTCCCAAAGGACTACCATGTCAATTCCTCCAAAGCAGAGGTGTAACATTAAAGATGGAAAATGGAGAATGGCCTCATCTCTCCCAGATCTGCCTATAAAATGGATAGAATCAAGTTGTAGGACTATTATTTTTTCCCAGTGATTATGATCACAAGCTATGAGGTGCCATGATGATGTGGAAAGAGTGCTAGATTTTGAAAGAGGACTGGGTTCAGTCCTATCTTTGCCACTTGACAACTATGTGACTCTGGATCACTTTATCTCTCTGTGTCTCAGTATCCTCACCTACAAAGATGAGGGTATTAGGGTAGATGGTCTCCAAATCTATGATCCTATGAACTAACTTTCTTCAAATTTATGAATCTTAGACGGATGTAATCTCTCCTTAGAGCCTGGTAATAGGCTCTAGAAAGGACAGATTGGAAGGGACCATAGGGATCATCTAATTCAACCTTTCCATTTTACAAATGAGGAAATTACAATGAGGAGGTTGAGAGATATAACATGATTTGCACAATGTCACATAGATAGCAGATTTGGGATTCTGAATCCAGGTTTTCTGACATAAAATTCAATGTTTATAAACACACTTAGACCTAGCTAGTTATTAATGACATTTTAGTCTTATATTCTGCATTCCTTCTTAAGCTATCTTATTAACATTTAACCCTTTCATACTTCTCTCAAAGAAAGTTACTTGGGGACTATGCAACTTGAGTGAGATGTAAAAAAAAATGTTGAAAATGCTAAGGAAAACAATTTAAGATGATTAAAAGGCTAGAAAATAGTACTTACTCCTTCTCTGAAGCATTTATCATTTGACACTATTAATCACCCCCTCCTTGAAACTCTCTATACTTCTTTAGCTTCTGTAAATTAACACTGGACTGGTTCCTCTTCTCACTGCTTCAGCCCTTTCTTCTTGGTCTTAGTTGTTGGATTCACTTCCCCCTTCTCTCCTATAAATATGGCTATACAAAGGCTCAGACCTCAGTCCCATTTTCCTCCCACTACAGTCTAGTAGTACAGTCTTGGAAATGCTATCTACTCTCATTGCTTCAACTCTCTCCTCCCCTCAGATGATTCTCAAATCTACAACTCTAGACCTTATTATGTAGCAATTACAAATCTGAAACTTCCCACTCGATCACCTCCACTAAAACAAGCCCAAAACCAAACTCATCTTTTCCCCAAATCCAACCATCCATCAGTATACTTCTATGCCTGCCAATGCTGCTATCATTCTTTCAGTCTCCTAGGCTCAAAACTTTGGATTGATTAATGACCTTCCACTCAATCCTCATTAACCCAATCCTTACAACACCAAGCCTAGTCACTAAGTCTTAACTAATTCTTCCATCAAAATGCCTTTCACATCCAACTCTTCTTTACATTTCCATTACCACCACAATCCTAACTCACTCTCATTCCACGTATCCAATCAGTTATTAGATACTTCTATTTTTTTTCTCCACAGTATGTCTCACACAGGTCACCTCCTCTTCATTCACACAGCCACTGCCCTAGTTTGGTCCCTCATCACCTCTTATCTAGACAACTGAAATAGCCTCCTAATTAGTTTCCCTCTCTCTAATCTCTTCCCACTCCAATTCATCCTCCACACAGCTGCCAGAATCATTTGAGGCAACTAGGTGGCATAGTGGATAGAGTGCTAAGCCTGAAGTAAAAAAGACTTGAGTTCAAATCCAGCCTTAGACACTTAGCTGTATAAGGCAAGTCACTTAACCTCTGTCTGTCTCACTTTCCTTGACTATAAAATGAAGATTATAACAGCACTTAACTCCCAGGGTTGTTGTGAGGATCAAATGAGATGATATTCGTAGTGTTTAGCCCAGTGCCTAGCACATAGTAGGCACTACGTAATTGGTCATTCCATCTTCCCTTTCTAGCTCTGACCATGTCTCTCTCTCTCTCTCTCTCTCTCTCTCTCTCTCTCTCTCTCTCTCTCTCTCTCTCTCTCTCTCACACACACACACACACACACACACACACACATATATATGTATATATATGTATATATACTTCATCATAAGGTCCCAGATTTAGAGGTGGAAAAGACTTTCTAGATCATCTAGTTCTACTCCCCTCATTTTACACATAGATGAGAAAAACTAAGGCTTAGAGACATTTAAGTGTCTTCCCAAGGGTGACGTAGCTAGTAAGTAACTGAGACTGGATCTGACACCAGATCATGTCTTTCTAACTTCAAGTTCAGGGCCTTATCCATTATACCATTCTGCCTCTATTAGTTTTCCTTACATGGAGCCTAAGTTTCCCTTTTTACAACTTCCACCCACTGCTCCAAGTTCTGTACTACAGACCTAAACAAAACAAATCTAAGTCCTCTTCCATGTGATCAGTGGAAATGACATTGAATAAGAGACATTGCCATTTACTTTGCCATTGTACACTAAGGACCATGAGACTTTTCTGTCTGACTTGCAGCTGAAACCATTCATATGTGTTGTCTCCAGGAGCATACTACAGTCAGCTTGGATGGGCTCTTGAAAGCCCATTTAAAAATTTTCATTGTGAGAGTACATATCTCAGGAATAAGCAATTACTACAAATCAGAGCTTGATTTATTATTTTGTTGACTTAGGAAAGTATTAATAATGTAAATTAAACTTGAAAGTTTGTGCACATGTAAGAAATGGCAAGCAGGACGGTTTCAGAAAAACCTGGGAAGACTTTAAAGATCTGATGCAAAATGAAGTGAACAGAACCAGGAAAACATTGTACACAGTAACAGCAATGATCAACTGTGAATCACTTAGCTCTTCTCAGCAATACAATGATCTAAGACAATTCAAAAGTATGTATGATGAAAAATACTAACTACCTCCAGAGAAAGAATCTATAGAGTCTGAATGCAGATTGAAGCATACTTTTTTTACTTTACTTTCCTTGTGGTTTTTTTTTGGGGGGGGGTTGGTCTCTGTTTTCTTTGGGGACATGGCTAATACGGAAATACATTTTGCAGGACTGTAAATATATAATCTATATCAACTTGCTTGTCTTCTCAGGGAGTGGGGAGGGAAGGAGGGAAATAATTTGGAACTCAAAAATTTAAAAACATGAATGCTAAAAATGTTTTTACATGTAATTGGAAGAATAAAATAAAATATAAAAAATTTAATTTAAAAAAATTGTGCACATATTTTCCCCCAGAGAATCCAGTTGTTAAACATTTACCAGCACATCCCTATGTTGCTCTATTAACTGCTTGAACTCAGGAGGTATGTAGTAGAAAGCTCAAGAAGTGAAGTCATCAGATTGGAGGCTAATAATAATAATAATAATAATAATAATAATAACTATCATTTGCGTAGCACTTTAAGGTTTGCAAAGTGCTTCATATCCATGATTACATTTGAGCCTCACAACGCACCTATCTATCCAATTAGAGCTTCTTGAGAGCAGAGAGTGTTACTTTTCTATTTGTATCTCCATGTTAAGTGCTTAATAAATACTTAATTCATTCATTCCTAACAACCTTTCAAGAACTTGAAGATAGCTATGTCCCATTCCCCTTCCCAACCCCATTCCCCAATCTTCTCTCTCCAGGCTAAACTGAGCATCTTGTTTCCTTTACCCAATCAACTATGCCATGAATTTGAGGTCCTTCTGATTGGCTTCACTTGGGTGTTCTCCAGCTTATCAATGTCCTTCTTAAACAGTGGTCTCCAGAACTGAAGACAATATTCCAGATTTGGTCTGATCATGGCCAAGTACAAAAGGATCATCGCTTCTTTCTTCCTGGAGGCTGTGTTCTTTGCAGCATAGCCCAATTTTGCTTTAAGTTTCTTTGGCTGCCACTTCACACTATTAACTCATATTAAGCTTGCAGCCCCCTGATACCCTCAGTTCTTTTTCTTTTTTCCCCCTTTTATTTATCTGTTCATTCATTCATTGATTTTAACATGCAGTTTAAAACATTTTTTGAGTTCCAAATTCCTTTTACAGTTGTTTTAATTTTTATGTCTCTTATTATCACTGATTTGGTGCAGTCTTTTATGTGGCTGTTAATAGTTCATAATTCTTCATTTGAGAACTCTTCATATCCTTTGACCATTTATCCTTTTGGGGAGTGGCTCTTGGTTCCATTCTTCTTCTAATAACATTCTCCAGTTCATTCTTCCCTCCAAAGATCTTTTTTCATAAAAAAAAAATACTATATAACCATGGTTTTAGATTTAGCCCCATTTTCCAGGTGAGGTCGATAACATTTATTACAATGATCAGCTCCAAAGCCTAGCTATAGCTTCTTTCAAGTTGGATTTAATCTAGTCTAAGCCTTAAGCATCACATATGTTGGTGCCCATTTACAGGCCTGATTTTTGACCAATGTTTTCCATGGTACTCACCTCAGTAGACCCCGTGAAGGCAATCTTGTCTATGCCAACATGAGAAGCTATTGCTGCCCCCGCTGTTGGCCCGTATCCTGGTAAGATATTGACGACTCCTGGTGGAAAGCCAGCCTGATAAAATGCAATTGGAAGAAACATGTTTTGTGGAAGTTGATGGAAGACACACACAATGTAGGGCCACGAGGCCACAGGTTCCCCACCCCTGATAGGCTCTAGTAGCCCCTTGACAGAGCCTTGACAGAGGTAAGAGTTTCTCTTACCTCCTTGATGAGGGCTCCCATGTAGAGGGCGCTGAGAGGTGTTTGTTCCGCAGGCTTAATGACTACTGTATTACCACAGCACAGAGCTGGAGCAATTTTCCAGGCAAACATCAGCAGGGGGAAGTTCCACTGAGAGAGTGAGAGAGAGAGAGAAATAACCCAAGATTGACAGATGGAAAAAACCACTTTGTTTTCAAATAGTGACTTCTCAGATTTCTCGTCATAAATCTTGTCCAGTACAAAGTATGGGTGTTTGGGTTTTTTAATCACCCCTATTAAATATGGAGGATGGCTGACCTTGAAATTCTTCCTCTATTCATTGATCCACCAGTAACAACCACCATCAACCCCACTCCCCAAAGCAACAATATGATGCAGCGTTTGCCTGTTTCTCAGGCTTTTGGTTTTAGTGAGCATTTGGTTAAGAGGGTACCTTTTTCCCCCCCCTAGTACTTGGAATTTTGGTACTGGTAATGTGTTTTCATTTTTCCCTTTAGATTTTGAGTTCCCTGAGAGCAGGGATTACGTCTTTGCCTTTCTTTGTATTATTGGGGCCTAGCACAGTGCCTGGAAAGTAGTAGGCACTTAATAAATGCTTGTTGACTTGACTTGATTTGGGAAAACTGCAAACTCTCCCAACTTGTGAGGACCAGCCCCAAGGGCTCCTGGCGAGCATCATAGTCGAGTCAACATTTGTTTCAAAGCCACATCTTTTTTTTTTTACCCTCTGTGCCCAAATGTTATTATAGAAGTTACTGTGTTTATTAGCAAATGTATATCAAAGCTACTTGTTTCCACTTCTTTATAAATTTGGGTCCTGCTCCCCACCTCCATGCAAATGGAGACAGAAAACTGAAATCCATGAGTAAGCACACAGATGTATACATGGGGCAACTGGTTTAAGTTATTTTTAAAAGACCATTAAGATTATACTGTCATCAGCTCAGGCATGTATCCTGGTGGTATCAGATGTCATTGATAATTTCATTAAGAAAGAAAACAGAAATCTTGGTCACCTAGACTTCAGCCCCTGACTGTCTGAAGCTTCTCAGCTGCCATCCTTGGAGCCCTCTTCCTAGCCCTGGCAAGCTTGCAAAAATATACAAGTGTCTTGCCTTCATCAAACACTCAATTTCTTTTCCCCACAGTTGTTTATAAACTTGAGAGCCCACAGTGATGTTTTAATTCCATCCACAGTATATAAATCTTGGAGCCCAGCACTTGAGCTAGAGTGGGCTGATGAGCAGTACTTGGTCTGTCAGGGACAGCTACAGTTTGGGGGAGGATTAAAGGGCAGAGGGAGCAGGTTTGGCCTCTGTGGTTCAGATGACAGATTCTATATCACTGTGTACTGGTCTAGGAAGATTTCACTAAGTGCCTTAAAGGCAGAAGAACCTTATTCTAACTGTTCTTCCTTGTTTTTTTTTCAGAGAGCAAATTTAACAGCAGTTAGAAGCTTGGAGTGGGGGCCAACACAGAACGCAAATAATTAATTATATGCAAAGAAGGGAGACTCCCAATGTGGGAACTCCCTCCAGCAACACTGATTACAACCAGCTAGGGCTTAATAATTAAGTCATAAGGAGTTATCTTAAATAAGCAAAGATTAAGTAACTTGTCATGGGTCACTGGCTAGTGAATGTCTGAGGTAGGATTTAAGTTCAGGTCTTCTTTATTCCAAGTCTAGCATTCCAAATTGCTTCTTCACAGGGACTGACCAGAGAGGTGGTATGGTTTGGTGGAGAGAGAATGGGATTTGGAGTCAGAGAAGCTGTGACTAACTTCACTGTGTGACCTCAGCTAAGTCACTTACCTTCCAGGGCCTCAATTTCCTCAGCTGTAAAATTTGAGAATTAGATTAGTTGGTCTTTAATTCCCCTTTCTACTTCTACCATCCCAAGAGACTTTGAAAATCAAAACAATTCCCCTTTTCCCCCAAATCAGTGAACATTTCAATCTTCTCCCCTATGGTTTGTAAAGGAAAACTTCTTACACCATAGTGTAATCATTTCATTTGAGCCTCCCCTTGAAATCACTGCCAGAAACTATTAGCCAGTACTTTTAAAAGATAGATTATTCAGTGATGTCCTAGGCTGTGCCAAGGGTGTGTATGAGACAGAGAAAGAGAAGGAAAAAAAAAAGGACAATGTTTAATGGGCCAACCCAAACACTAGAGAACTACACTGATTTCCCTTTAAAAGACACACAACAGCCCGGCATGGTTTCAATTATGTCCATGACGTTAATTGCGCTGCTGTGTCTTGTGGAGTGTCTTCTAGCTAAATTCCTGTGAAAAGAAACAGTGGGAAAGAATGGGATTAAAATTCCATATAAAATAATATAATCTGCCTGGAAAGACGGTGAGTCAGAGTTCTAAAAAATAAATAAGCAAACATTACAAAGCATTCATTTTCCATAAGCTGCCTGGGCATCCATAACCAGGGGCAGGTTATTAATACTCTGTGTCTCACTTTGCTTATTTTAATCATGAGAATTCCATGACTTGAGAACTCAACTCCTGGTAACAGAGCTGAAACCCTATTAACCTGTTCAAATAAGCATTTGCAGGGAGGCTGTTAAAGATATGTCAACAACATGATCTCAGCCCTTTTTTCCCCCTCTGTAATGGAAAACACACATTGCTGAGGTCCATGTTTTATGTGTCTTTAAAGAGAACTCAGTTCAAATGAAAATAAATATGAGGCGTGAGGAGGACATACACTCACCGGGATGATCTGTCCACATACTCCAATGGGTTCGTGTCTTGTAAATGTGAAATAATTTCCATCTGAAACAGATGAGCATGGTCACTCTTTAGAATAGTTTGAACTTAAAGAACCAAACCTACAATGCAGAATAAGAGTAGGGGAAACTGAGTAATAGCCAGAAACAGGGAGAGAGAGATGAAATATCCACACGAGCCATCCTGGAAGTTCTTGTAGGAGCAATGGTTACAAGATAGCTGAATCCAAGCATAAAAACAAAAGGAAGACAGTAAAGGTAGAAATGTAGGACACGAGAGACCACATCTTACAACAATCACAAGTTACTATGTTGAGCATGAGTCTTTAAAGAGAAAAAAAAAGCTACACACTGGGGAAAAAGAAAAACTGAGTAAAATTGGAGCGTCATATAATTTAAAATGATTAAACATTAAACTGAGGTTCCTATAAGGAAGGTAGCATGGAACAGTGGAAAGCATATTGGGCTGGGAGTCGGAGAATCTGGGTTCAAATCCTAGCCCTCCCCTCTGTGTGGACAGAAATTGGACCTGGGATTTCATTGGCATAAGGCACTCTCAGGTGAGAGAAAATTCCTTCTATCAAGGCAAATACTGTGATTATTTATCTGCATCTTAGTCTTAAAGAATTGCTGAGAGCATTAAGAGGAGAAATGAGATACCCAGAATCACACAGCCAATATGTCAGAGGCAGCACTTGAGGCCAGATCTTCCTGGAGGCAAGTCTAGCTCTCTAACCACTGTGCAACCCTTCCTCCATATGTGACAGATGCAAACCCACCTACCTGTGTGACCTTGGGCAAATCACTTCTCTTTTCTGGGTCTCAATTTCCTCATCTATAAAATGAGGAGTTTAGACTGGATTGTTTCTGAGGTACCTTACAACTTAAAATCTACGATCTTATGACAAAATCTATAATAAAAGAATACCTAATGATCTAGTATAGGGCAGCTAGGTGGCACAGTGGATGGAGTACTGCACTTGAAATCAGAACGATTCATCTTCATGGGCTCAAATCTGACCTCAGACATCTACTAGCTGTGTGACCCTGGGCAAGTCACTTAATCCCATTTGCTTCAGTTTGTTCATCTGCATAACGATCTGTAGAATCTTGTATCTTGGCCAAGAAAACCCCAGATGGGATCAAAAAGATTCAGACAGGACTGAAATGATTGAACCACAAATAATCTAATATACTTAAAATGCCAGCCACTGGAAAGATGTGAGGGCAAAAATTTTTAAAAAAAGTATTCTTCATACTGTTACCAATAACCCAACTCAAGGAAAGTCTGAAAATAAACTCAATAGGTCTTAGAAAAGGAAGACAGCCATTTTGAGGGCTGCATAGAATTGCGATCAAGACCACATGTTACAGTGGAAATTTTGCTGTCTTTGAAATCAGAGGAATGGAGTGGGCAGCTAGGTGTCACAGTGGATAGAGCACCAGGCTTAGAGTGAGGAGGACCTGATTTCAAACTACCTCAGAGACCCTGGGCAAGTCCACTTAACCCCAATTGCCAGAAGAAGAAGAATCCAGAGGATTTTAAGTTCAAATTTTGCTTCCGTCATTTATTACCTTTGGGACCATGGACATCACTTAACCTGAGTCTATCTCCTTATCTTTAAAATTATGTCTAAGGTCCCTTTCAAATCTTAATCTATGATATTATGTCAGTGCTTATCTTCAAACAAGTGAATTGCTGCTATTCTTCCTCCTTCCTCTCTTTGTTTTCCTGGGAATAAGTGGGTATAGAGAATGCCTCCTCTGGATGGTTTTGCTAGAAGGAGATGATTATGAAGAAATTTTCCTAGTTATACTGTTAACATTTCTGACAAACAGGCAAAGATACCCATCAGCAATAAACTAAGTCATGGTCCTCCCAGTGTCTTAGCTTTTCCTAGAGAGTAAATACAAAGTAACTTAATTCTTTCAAAGCCATAGAAGACTATGAAAGAAAGAAAGAAGAAAAGAAGGAAGGAAGGAAAGAATTTAGCCAAAGTAAAACAAGAAATTAATATAATTATCCAGATAATGTAGCCTCCCAAAATCCAAACCACACTAAAACAAAAAACTTTCCAACATCTTTCTACTTAGAAAAAGAAAATTTATTTGATCCAAATTATTCAGGTTGACTGTCTATATTATTCACACTGATGGTCAAAAATAACAGAAATAATGAGGAAAAAGTTACTTTTGGGATCTTTTATATGTCAAAACAAACTAGAAAAAAAATTCAATCAACCAGTTACCAGAATAAACAAATAAATCCAGACCCAAAAATGACTGGTTTTTTTTTTAATTGAATTGACTGATTGTTTTGGTTTGGTTTAGACATGGCCAAACATCTTAGGGATGACTAGCCTTCCAGGGAAAAGAAAAGAATAATCAAAAAAATTTGTTCATATTATCAAGCAATATAGAAGCAACCATGATATAATGGATAGAGAACAGTCCTGAAAGCCAGGAGGACCTAGGTTCAAATCTCATCTCAGACACATACCGGTTTTGTGACCTTGGGCAAATCACTTACCCTCTCAATGTCCCAGGCAAATTTCTAAGACTGAAGGTTGCAGGATAGTTGCCAGTCTATATCAGTAGAGGCAGTTTTCTCAATGAGACTTCTCTATACTAATAAAATCATAGGTCCCATCCAAAAACACCAAAAACAAGTAGACAATCTTCTTAAATGTCTCTTACAAACAATTAAACAGAAAAATAAAAGACTTGCCCTTTGCCATTTTTAGAAAGGAGACCAAATTCTTAAAGAATTGGAATTCCTGTTGGAATTTCCCAGGAAATCCCAAATCTTCAATTCTAGAATCATCAAAAAATAAAAGACATTAGTGAGCAACCAGTGAAGTTAACATACACATACAAGCAATGTTGTAATCCCCATCCATGTGCAGGACTCACTCCTAAAGAAACCCCAAAGAATCCAGTGCTTCATTTAGACTAAGGAGTGGAAGGATGGAGTTAGTGTATAGGATTGCCTGCAAAAGAAGGGGGGAGGGGTGTCCCAAGGAGAAAAAATGAGGCTGAGTTGAAAGAGGGCAAAGGAAAATTTAGACAAACATTTAAAAAGCTAAGTTCTCAAGAATAGGAGTTAGCTTGAAGAAGGGTTTCCCACGGGACAAGTTGGTATCGGAAACATTTAAAACTGTTCTGGATATACTGTTCACATTTCTGACAAACAGGCAAAGATACCCATCAGCGACAGACTAAGACATGGTCCCCCCAGGGTCTTAGCTTTTCCTAGATAGTAAATACAAAGTACCTTAATTCTTTCAAAGCCATAGACTATTTACTGTCCATTTACAGCCAGGAGACCAATAGGTAAACCACAACTCAAGACTACCAAATAATTGGATTTTAGAGTTGCAGTGGGTCTAGAGACCACTGGTAGTCTTGATTTGGGACACTAAGATAAGTTTGGAGTTATTTTTTCTCCTAGGAATGCAGGTGACCCAGAGACCTCCTAAAACACTAGTATCCTATACGAGTTCTCACACATTTGCTAGTAGGGGAACCAGGGAATCTAGAGGACTAAGAATATTTGTTAAATGCACCTAATGTGTACAAGTCATTGTTGGGGGTGGGACAGGTAAGATACAAAATTTAGATAAGAAGCTTAGATAAAACAATGTTTCTGTCCTCAAGGAGCTTATAATCTAATAGGGGCTAAGGCGAATAATAACACAGGTGAACACATCTTGAACATGGGTTGATTTCAAGAGATAGTAGAGGATAGAAGTGCTGGGCATGGGGTCACAAGGAGTTGGACACAACCAAACAACAACAAAAACCACATCAGAGAATTTTAGAACAGAATGCTATGTGAAACGTGTAGTGAGGACCAGGGAAAGACAACGTGATCACAGATTTAGAGTTAGAAGAGCCCTAGAGGTCATCTGAGCCATTCTCCTTATTTTAAAAATGAAAAAACTGAGGCCTAGAAGGGTTAAGTGACTTGCCCGCCAACACAAAGACAATAGATTAGAAGCTGGGTTTTAATTCAAAGAACACATTGGAAGTCAACAGATGGAAAGCTTGAGCGAAGATTTTCTGGGTACAGGGATTGGGCCAATGATGGGACTAGCTTTTAGCTCTGCTTTCATAATGGCAATACTTTTATTAAAGTATTAAAGTATATTTATTAAAGTGTATTTTTTTCTAGTCCATTTATTTATCACCTGAAACATAAAGGAAACAGATGAGAAGCTCACCAAAATGAGTAAGTGCCATCAGAAGATGATGCTGAAATTGTAACATTAAGCACAAATGGAAAGCTATTAGTAAATTTTAGTGGATCTGGTAATAATAAATATCCCAATCTTAAAAGTTTCCTGGTGATGTTAAATACCAGTAAAGTTACATTTGGTTGTTTTAGTCCTTAAAGCACCTTATGTAAAAGGGAGTTCATTTCACCATTGATGCTGAGCAGGGTCACAGCCATCCACAGCCCCATGCAAACCCAAGTCTCTTAGCTTTATGGGAAAGCTTGCACAGTGGCATATAGACTATTGCTCTCCTGGAGGCCATGAGTTCATCCCCTCACATTCCAACACAAGGGTTCTTAACCTTTTTTTTTTTTTTGTCTCGGACCCCTTTGACAATCCAATGAAGTCTATTAGATAAGAGGTTTAGATAAGACAAAGTTTCTTCCCTCGAGGATTTTATAATCTAGTAGGGGGCTAAGTGAATAATAACACAGGTAGAGCACATCAGAGGATTTTAGAACAGAATGCTATGTGAGATGTATAGTGAGGATCAGGGAAAGATAACCATAATAATGTTTTTAAATACATAAAATGCATAGTATTACAAATGAAATGAATTATATCGAAATAGTTATAATTTTTTTTTAAGTTTATGGATTCAAGGTTAAGAACCCCTGGTCAAGGCTAAATGCTCCTGGCTACGTGTTTCTCCTCTTTGCCCCAAAAGATTTCTACAGCCTCCTATGTCTGGGAGGGCAAATAACGACTAGTGATTTTCTTCCATCTTTTCTTTACAATATTTGCTAATTATTTCTGTGCTACAAAAAAA